CAAGAAATTACGTATAAAATGGATTAGAGAGAGAGAGAGAGAGAGAGAGAGAGAGAGAGAGAGATCATTTTCATCTACTTAATTCTTTTAAATATAAAGTTTAGATGAAAAAAAACCTAAACTATTGCACGGAATATAGGTATATAACGTATACTGTATGTTTCTTTCACAAATTGTTTTAGTTGATTTATTTACAATGTCTCTAATGTATTATTAGTCTATTAAGAAATGTAATAACGGTTTAATGTCATTAAAGATAAATTTTTTGTTTTAGAACTTCCAGCGATCGAAGTACAATCCCTTATGAGATCAACAACAATGAAAGTTACATGAACAACGAAACTCTGCTTTACAATGTGTCGTTCAACGAAGATTATATTTTCGACAGGACCGACGTAAAAGTAATTTTCATCACTTTATACACCATCGTATTTGTCTGCTGTTTCTTCGGTGAGTCTTTCGACATTTTCATACTCGTATATTTAACAATTAATTAATTTCTGTATTATTTATAAAAAAAATATGTCATTATTTGTATTTGAGAAGGTAAAGATTATGTATTTTAAGATTATGTAAACATAATTTTTTTATGTTCAGCAATTTTTAATCAATATAAATTAATTAATTATAAATATTTGAGGACATAAATAAATATTACAGAAATCCAATACTAATTAATATTGACCAATTTAATATTCAAAGGCAGTAATTAATTATCTATTTTGAGTATTAGAAGTATCAAATAACAGAGCTCTTAATACACCAAATAAATAAGAAATTCCTTTTTTGTATTAAATTAATCAGTATTATATATCTATAAGGGCAGTTATAGAAAAAAAAAACATTCTGTGTTTATTTATTTCTAATGAATGTTATACAGCGTAAATCATTTAAAGTGAGTTAAATTAATATATAGTCAATGAGTTAAAATGTTGCTAATTTAATCTGTGATGAACAAAAAATGTGAAAAGCAATTTTCATATTACTAAATATTTATTATGCATATATTAATTTCTAAATAAACTTCATTTAATTTACACGTATTATTTCTTTCAAAAATATTAATTTATCGTACTTTAAATATCTTCTGTTTTACATTTATAAGAAATTTTTAAAAATCGTGATAAGAGTGTCGCTGCATTTGCACAGTTCGTACATTAAAGAATTAATTAATCTCATCATTCATTTACGGAAGTTTAATGAGCGTCTATCTCAAATTGAAGCAAAAGACACTGCACGGACATTTTATAGGAAATGAAGCTGCAATTCGCAGAATTTGTCCCATTCGCAGAACTCATATGTCGTTGTTAAAATGGTTTTCATTTCCTCGAAGATTTGAAACAACCACCGTTGCGGATTACTACGAACCACTGTTAGATAGACGATCGTTTCTCCGCAGGTGTAATGAACGCGAGATATTAGTCGGTGGCTTTTAAGAGAAGAAGATTCCTCTAATTTACCGGTTCTATCTAGAGTCGTCGATGCATTTACGGACTCGCGCTGAGTATAGTTGAAAATGACGTCCAATTAGTTGGACAATGCCAGTTACTAGAGCTATTTCTAGGAATTTGACCTAGAAGATAGCGTTCAGAATTCATTCTCCACAGAAATTTTATCAGAAACTCGATTGCTAGATGATATTTAATCAATACATTTGATACTGAATATTTAGAGATTTTCTATCCACAGTATACATCCACAATTTCTTATTTATAATGATATATCAATTTCTAATTTATTATTGAATCTGTAACGAAGACGAATATTCGAGAAAACA